TTTAAACCTCACATAGCTTTAAATSGTGGCATCAATAAAGTTTCTCTTTTCATTAACTTTAACAGAATTTACATGAAAAGCAGCTGAGCTGGGACATGTGTGTTGTCATTTTTATTCGTGTTTGCAAAGTTATTAACTACAAGCATAAAGTTGTTTTAACTCTCGGGAAGTCATMGTCAGAGACGTCTGATCAGAACTCAGTTCTCTTTAGAGACAATGAGCTGAAACTTTGTGTGGTAGTAGCTGAGAGTAACCTCCACCTGAACTCTCAGCTACATTTACATTTATTCTGACTCTGAGGAAACAAACTGAACAGTTCACGTTTTACTTTTTCCTCATGTTTTCTGCAAACACGTTAAATATTTCCGACACTGAAAATTTCAGACAACTAAGAAAAGTTTAGGACAAAAAAAAAAAAACAGCTTGTTTTTGTTTCCATCAAATCTCTGCTTGTTTGTCTGTTAGTAAAATATCTCCCATTTGATTTAGAGCTCAACAGTAAAGGATGATTGTAAATCAATGAGTCTGGAGTGAAACTAAGTCAAGCTGTTCGACACAAGGTGGGACGATGCATATGTATGATTTCCATCTGTGAGCATGAAATCCTAAATAATGAGACGTTTTATTTCACACAGCGACTTTTTCCATCCAGAGGGTTTAATGAAACCTTTCTTTCAGGGATCAATCCTTTTATCTTTCTGCAAATGTAGCAGAAAAATGACCTGAGGTGAGAAAAACTAAAGTTTGCACAGCAGGAAGTCATTTCTTCTGTTACACAGGAAAAGTTACAAAGACTGAAACATGTCTGCTTTTTTCTGAAATGATCTGAAGTATTCACAGAAACATTAGTTAAAGGTGGTAAAAWTTTTAATCTCACTGATTGTTTCTATTCCTGCAGTGCTCAAACCTCAACATGTAATATTCTCCTTCTGTAAAATTTATTCATTTCTTTATTTTAAGATTTAGCTTCATGTATCCTGATGGATGGATCACAGTCTGAGATCTTCCTGTTCAAATACTTTATACATATAAATACTTTATACATATAAATACTGTATGTTACACATTTATACATATATAAATGAAACATTGCTTGTTGTAAATGAGTCATTTTTGAGCTTTGTTATAAACAGATGAGTTTGTTATAAGTTGACTTGCAGATGCAGGAGTTTGTTAAATAAACTGAAACTAATTATAAAAAGTTTAATGTTTAATTAGCCCGAAATTAAAAGTTTGAAAAAAAAAGTTCTAAAAGAAATAAAACATGAG